TGCCTTGGGCCTCCACTCGCAGCAACCTCCTCGTGGTGAGGCCTGGGCAATCGGTATTGTCATCGGTAAAGTACTGTAAACTGAAGACAATACCGAGCTAATGGCTGCGAACTTCAAATCTATCTCATAAAACCACGTTTTATATTACATCGAACTAGGATTATTTTAGAAATCGATATAAGATTCAAAGTGTAAAAATGTCTAGTACTTTGAATGTTTTAGAAAATTATTCGAGATAAAGATGTATGGAACTACTGAAAATTACTTTAGATTCCTTTTCCTTATTCTGTAAATTCTTTGATTGGAATATGAATGCTGCTGGAAGTATGAACATTTTCACAGGACAATGATATAAATGGAACTTTAACACTTTTTTAAGTGTTACAGTGATATTTCGTTGGCCTCTGTATTAGCGTACTACGCCGACCGCGGATAGCATGATGTTGTAGTCGCAAGGGAGCAATTGAATCGAATAGACGTATTGTACCGTAGCGCATCGTATTGTATTTCAAACTTTTATATCATTATAATTTATATGTATATATGTATATTCTAATAAACATACGTCAGGTAATATAAGCTTCATTTCATCGAATTGTCTTAAATATAACTGCATAAATATTGTACAATCCTGTACTAATTATAGTAGTTTAGTTCAACAGATTACTGCAGAAACTAACTACTGCCTACGTCTTTTAAACTTGGGCTGTAGTAGTATCTGCAGAAACTGCCATGGTTGGGGTTACTATATAATTTGCTCACGGAAGCACGCACAAGTGTCAGTCAGATTTTGACAATTGCACGAGCAACATTAGACCGAGCTTGAGACTCGTACGAGCAACAGCGATAAAGATTCCCGTTTCAAAACTCTTGTGTATGCTCCGGGGGTTCTATGACCCCGCGATCTCACCACACGGGTCGTGGCGCCACCTGCGGGGGTTCTGTGACTCCACGTCCTCACTGCACGGGGTCACTGGCGTCTCCGCGGGGGGGTTCTATGGCCCCACGTTCTCACCACGCAGGGTCCCTGGCGCCTCCTCCGGGGGTTCTGTGACACCACGTTCTCACCACACGGAATCCCTGGCGCCTCCTCCTGGGGTCCTATGACCCCACGTTCTCACCACCCAGGGTCTCTAGCGCCTCCACCGGGGGTTCTATAACCCGACGCCTCAACCACGGGGTCTTTTACGTATACGTTACCAGTTCATGTAATTTTTAGAATCTATACAAATATTATTATAGATATATTGCAAAATCATGTATGTAAGTAGTACTTAAGGCAATTGTTATTACATTTATAGAAATACTATTGTAAATTGTATATTTTCGTACGATTTTTTGAATAAACAACAGTCAAATCATACATATGCATTATTTATTAATCCTGGCTCTATCTCCACTCCTATTCCTAATATCAATTAACCAAAATAGTAACAACAACAAAATAATTAATTCTAAAACTTCTACGTTTTGGAAGAAGTTTTGGAATTAGTTCCAATTTTCGCCACCAACTGGTGGGGGCGCCACAAACGTGCAGGTTTCCGCCATCTTGGATTTTATAAAAAGCGCGGGAAAAGGGGGAATTTATGGGGCATACAGTGGCGCCCCCGTCACTTGGTGGCGGAAATTGGAACTAAACACAGAACTTTTTCGATAGTTCGTAAAGACGCCACCAGCTGGGCTGCTTAAAAGTTTAACGATATAACACTTCATTTGTGCTAATAATACTCAGAATTCATGCTTTATAGGTAACGTCGAGTATTGACACGAAAATGGTATCAGGGCTACGTAGCCCTGCGAACGTGGGACAGAAGAAAGCATTGAATTTTTCTTCTATTCTATATCTCGTTCTATTCTTATATCTCGTCTGTGTCATTACAGTAGACATTCGTTTATTGTAGCCATCGGGGCTGTAGAGAGCCAGAATTCCAGGAATACTACATAAAGAAACTCCAATCACCCGCGCGCTGTCCCCTTCATTCGGACGTTCAGTTATGGGACGCACCTATATATAGGATCGGCTGGATATACGCATTTTACGATCAT